GGTCAACTAACAGTGAACTAACTGTGAAGAGGTCAACTAACAGTGAAGAGGTCAACTAACAGTGAACTAACTGTGAAGAGGTCAACTAACAGTGAAGAGGTCAACTAACAGTGAACTAACTGTGAAGAGGTCAACTAACAGTGAACTAACTGTGAAGAGGTCAACCGACTGTGAAGAAGTGGTCAACTAACGGTGAAGAAGAGGTCAACTAACTGTGAAGAAGAGGTCAACTAACTAAACTAACAACTCACCATCTTGAGACATGCCGGCGAACAAGCATCTCTGGTAGCGGCAGTACTGGCACTTGTTCCTGGTCCCGGTGTCGATCTTACAGCGGGAGCCCGCCTGGCACGGCTTGTACACCAGCTGTTTCTTCAGGGTACGACGGAAAAAACCCTGAGGGGGGAAAACAATGACCACAATTAATTAACAACATTAATAATACGGTCGACGAGCCAGTGGGTGCATAGGGGAGAGTGGAGAGTGTTTCGTTTTAGTAGGGGTTTTACGGCACTTGCAACACAATAAGGTCATATTATAAGTGCCGGGGATTAGAGGTGTGACATGAATGAGAGTAACATATAGAAAAAAAGAAGGAGGGGAGATAAAGACGCTAGATGTTTGATAGGAAAGAAGAAGCAAGCAAACCACACCAGAGCACCCGCCAACTACCCACAGAGAGTGTTTGTTCGTGGCCTCTACCCTGAAGCAGAGTGAGAAAGGCAATGATGATGATGATGATGATGATGATGATGATGATGATGATGATGATGATGATTTACCTAAATAACAGATGCTATTGCCCGTCTTTTCATTTCCTCCTATCAAACATATTATATCGTCCTCATCTCTCCACCTTCTTTTCTTTATTCGTATGTTACTCTCTTGTAAAACCTCTAATCTTCGGCATCTATATTATGACCTATTTGTGCTACAAGTGCCGTAAGACTCTTTTTCCAGACTCAGACAGCCGAACACGTTCAAGACGACCACCCATTGTTGAGAAGGGAAGAATGGTTGTATTGGACAGTGTCATTATGAAATAGAAGAGAAAAAAAAATGAACACAGG